CTGCGCTGTGAGGAAAGGGGGGTGGTGTGGTGCAGAGAGATTATGAGTTGAGTAGAGATCATGGTGGTACTCGACAAATAAGACATTTGCTCAATCATGCCTACATGCACATGGGGTGCACCCACGTCAATCCATTTCACCTAGAAACAAATACAGACAGCATAAGAATAGAAAGCAGACGCATGGCCCACTCACCCATGGCATTGAGAAGGCTCAACGCTGCTTCCGAAACAGCAGCAGCAGAACCATCCATGTGTGCCCCATGCGGCAGCGGCAGGGCCATGACCACCAGCTGCGCCATGCGCCCCCTGCCACCTGACAGCTGTGCCGGCCTGCGCAGCACCTCCCTTCTCACCTCCCTGCCACCTGCCGGGCAGCGCTGCACCAGCAGCAGAAGCACGTGCAGCACTGCTGCCACCGCTGCTGCCTGCCTGCCCTGCCACGGGGCGATAGGCTCGTCGCCATTACTGCTACTGTTGCTGCTGCCTTGGCTGGTGATATCTGTGTGTGCGCTACTGCACGCGCTGCTCTGCGCCCTTGACCCTCCATCCGCTCCTGCCAGTCCCCCACACGCCTCCTTACCACAAGAAGCAGCACTGGTGTGAGCATGCATCTCTCCCCCGCCCATGCCACCTTCCCTTTCCCCCGCACCCATCACCGCTTCCCCTCCCACAACCCTCGCATCCCCCGCACCTGTTGCCCCCCACAGCCACTCAGCAGCCCGCGCCACAACGCCTCCCCTACTCTTCCCTCCACCATCCCTGCCCTTGCTGCCTTTGCTGCCCATGCCACCCGTGCTACCCGTGCTGGCCTGCGTGCCATGACTGCGGAGAGCAGGTGCGGAGCGTGACAGGTGGAGGCGCCACAGCGCGGCGAGCAAGGGGGCGGTGAGGGTGGCGAGCGGCGGGACGAGGGGCGAGGTGGACGAGGGGGGAGAAGGGAGCACAGTGGGAGGGGGCGCGAGGAGGGAAGGGGGGAGGGCGGGAATGGGGGCGTGGCGGAGTGGGCGGGAGAGGGGGTGTGGAGGCAGGGCGAGGAGGGAGGCAGCGAGGGCAGTGCAGGCGTCCAGCACCACGTGGTCGCCTGGTGCAGACAGAGAGAGCAGGTGGGGTGCAGGCGCAAAGGGCACACGCAGCACACACACGGGGCACCCAGGGTAGGGCGGCGCAGACAAGGAGGGGAGGAGAGGGCGCAGGGCATGTTGAGTTGAGTTGAAGGATGTGAGCAGGCGGTGGGGAAGCAGGGGGCTTCACACGGGGCGGTGTACGGGGCAGGGCAGTAAGGAACAGAGAGAGAGGGCTTCAAGGGGCTGTGCCGGCGGGGCGGGGTGCTTGAAACACAGCACAGCAGTGGCGGCAAGGGACAGCACGCAGAGCAGAGCAGCGAGGGAGCACAGCACATGCATTTCTGTGTGCACAGCAGAGCAGAGCAGAGCACACGCACGGTGCATGACAGCAGCAGCAGAGCGCAGCCAGGTGTGCCCTGCAGCACCGCAGCACCACAACCACCACCTCTCCACCCACCCACCCATCACCCCACCCGCAACAGCCTTGCCGCGTGGATTGCCTCACCCATGCTCTAATCCACGTGGCGCCTCCCACACACCCACATCCCCCGCACCTCCCACACCCCCACATTCCCCCACACCTCCCACACCCCCACATCCCCCGCACCTCCCACACCCCTCACCCCTCCCACACCCCCCACCCCTCCCACACCCCCCACCCCTCCCACACCCCCCACCCCTCCCACACCTCCCACACCCTGTCCCAGCCGGCCCAACCTCCCGACACTGGCCTCACCGGGGGCATCAACATAGGCGGAGAGGGCTAGCAGCATGGCGCCCGTCACACTCTCCCGCCACCACCGCCCCCCCACAGTGGCCATGCGCGCACACACGCGCACCGCTGCCTGCCGCAGCGACGCCAGCGCTGGTGGCGCGCTGAATGCCAGCAGGTGCAGCAGCGCCGCACACGATGCCTCATAGTGTGCCTGGTGGGGCGGGGGGGGGAGAGGGGGGGGTTGGCGGGAAGGGAGGGGGATGGGGAGGAGGGGAGGAAGGGAGCATGTGGGAACGAGAGGTGGGGAGGGCGCAGTTGGGCATGGTGAGCCAGACGTAGATAAGACAAAAAGGGGCACCCCAGCATTTTCCGCCAGCACTCTCTGCTCATGACCCGCCAATCAACGGCATGCCAGCAGCCCAGCTCTCACCCTCACTGCCGCCCCTCTCACCCTCACTGCCGCCCCTCTCACCCTCACTGCCGCCCCTCTCACCCTCACTGCCGCCCCTCTCACCCTCACTGCCGCCCCTCTCACCCTCACTGCCCGCCTGCACGCCACGTCACTCCAGAGAGGCATCTCATTGGCCGCCACGAAGTCGAGCAATCGCTGCACGCCACGTAGCAGCTGATTGTGCAAGGCAGGGTCTTGGGACGCCCACTGCCACTGCCACGTGTCCTGCCATGGGGCTGCTCCCTGCCACGTGGCAGCAGCACAGCTGCCATTAGTGGCAGGACGTGCAGTCGTGGAGGTTGGCGGAAAAGAACCTGCTGGCATGCACCATGCACCATGCACCATGCACCATGCACCATGCCATCATGTCATGCCATGCATCATCAATCGAGCAACATGCCTTACAGCATGCACCCATACACCATGCCATGTCATGCATTCAGAAGCGACGCGTGATGGGATGAGTGTGATGCTGCACAAGGAGGTCCAGCAACTGAAGAGAGTGGGTAGAGGGGAGATGGAGGGGTGGGGCGAGAGGGGGGAGCAGAGAGAGAGGCGGCTGCCAGCGTCAAGCAGCACAGCGGCCACGCCACGCATTCCCGCGACTCCCCTTCGCCATCCTTCCTCTGACTACTCGCTACCCCCGCCGGGGCGAGGAAGCGCGAGGTGAGGCGGGGCGAGGCCAGGGGGAAGGGGAAGCGGGGCGGAGGCGGCACCTTTCCAGGCGACGGCGAGGGCGGCGGCGAGCGGCTTCTGCGCCTCGTCCAGCGACCGCTGCAGCTGCTGCCGCCGCGCCTCCCGCTCGCGCGACTCCCGCTCGCGCGCGCTTTCGCGGCTTGGCTTCGCGCCGCCGCCTTCGCCGCGCTGCGATCCGCCTGGCGGCGCTAGGCGCACTCGAGCGCCACGCGCCGCATCCATGGCGGCCGCATGCACCGCAGCGTCGCGTGTGGCTCGTTCGCAGCGTCGCGTGTGGCTCGTTCGCAGCGTTGCTTGTTCGCTTCGACAACTTATCCGCAGTACGCGTTCACCCTGGTACACGAGCCGTAGAGTAAAAGCGAAACAATCTACTGCATCCGTGAGAGGCGTGCAATTTATGGTACAAATGTAATTGCTGTGCTTCAAATCACACAAATATCAATCATATGCATGCGATGGAACACAAACACACACTGCACTGTGTATCCGGCCTTCTTATAACGAGCCTTCGTGCTCAAAACGAAGCATCGATTCAGGGACGACCTCTCCTCTGCCCCTGTTCCATTGCCACTACGCAGCCAATCATCCGCTACGTGTGTATCGTACCGCGCTCTCTGCTCCCGCGCTCTTTCTCGCCGCGACGTCACTGCCTCCGCTCACCACGGTCAGTTCGCCATCCGTGACTCCCGCGCTCTCCGGAAATACCTCCATCCATCCATCGCGTCCGCCTTCGCGCCCGTTCCCTCGCGTCTCGACTCCTCGCAGCGGCGCCCACCGCCGTGACTGTTGAGTCGATTTTAGAAGTCACCTGCGCCCATCGCTCACCTCCGCGCGCCTGCATTGGCGCGCCATGAGCGGCGGCGTCGCGGGCGCGCACAGTCCGCTGCCAGCTGTCGCGTGGCAACCGCACCTCCTCAGCGCGAGCGCTGCGCGTGCGGGCGGACGGCTGGGGTGGCGGCAGTGGTGCGACCGTGAGTCGGGGTGTCTGCGGCTGAGCGACGCGGGCGAATCCCGACGAAAGCATTGCGACTCGCCGCGGCGACTGCGACGGTCGCACAGCCAGCAACGATCGCATGCACGGTGTGAGGTAGTCGCACAGTCGGTCTGCAGCTGCCCCGTCGCCCTCGCTCGCGTTCCACTGCTGTCACTGGCCTTGCGCAATGCCCGCCTCGCACGTATGCTTCCTCGGGCGCATGCTACCCCGAGCGCATGCTTCCGCAGTGCCCGTCTGAAGCGGCAGCACCTGCGGCCATGGCCCTCCTCGGCCTCCTGTCCCCCTCCCTCGTCGCCGCCGCATTTCCTCCCGTTTCCTGCAATGCCCCTCTCATTCCCTTCCTCCCTCTCCCACCTCCGTCCCAAAGCCTCCTCCCATTCCCCTCCCATTCCCCTACTCGTCGCCTCCGCCTCCGCCCCCCTCGCCCCCTCCCGCCCCAGGCGGCGGCGCCCGCGAAGATAGAGATCCGCGGGTTGACGCGGAGGGCGGCGAGCACGGGCGCGCTGATCCTGGACGGCGTGGCGCTGCGCGTGGCGCGCGGGCAGCTGTTCGGGCTGATAGGGCCGTCGGGCAGCGGCAAGTCCACGCTGCTGCGCGCCATCAACCGCCTGTGGGAGCCCACACGTGGCACTGTGTGGGTGGACGGCTGTGACGTCACCACCATGGACGTGCAGCAGCTGCGGCGCCGCGTGGGCATGGTGTTCCAGAGCCCGCACCTCTTCCCTGGTAGGCCCTCCCCGCACCCCAGCTCTGCTTGCTCCGCTACCCATCCCTCCCAACCCCTCCCGACCCCTCCCGACCTCATGTTCCCCGTCTCGCCTTCCCTTCCTCTCCTCTCCAAGTGCCCTCGGCCCAACTGCTCGCCCTCGCATCGCACCCACATGCGCACTCTTTCTCTCGCACCACACCCGGTTCGTCTCTGTTGTTCAACGAGCATCCATTGCCCTCTGCGCCAACATTCCCCCGCCCCAATTCCTGGCCTGCTTACCCTCTTTACCCCGTGCTCGGTACTTGGCAGCTGCGCTCGCCCCATTTGCTCGTCCACTCTTCGTGCGTGTTGCTGCTTCATTGCTCAGCCCTCGCATGCATGTGTGGCGTGCCCCTCATGTCATGCTCGCCTGTCCCACACCTGCCTCTGTCTCATGCCTCTTCTCAGCTCCACGCCACCATCAGTCGTTCATCTGGGCCTCCACACAACCCACCCTCTCACCTTCTTCCCACCCCCTCATCACACCCATACCTCCCTCCCTCTCCCCCTCAACCCCCCAGGCACGGTGGCGGACAACGTGAGGTACGGGCCGGGGCTGCAGGGAGTGGCGGTTGGGGTGGAGGAGCAGCAGAGCCTGCTGCTGCGCGCCGGGCTCGACCCCTCCTCCGACTTCCTGCACCGCGCCGCCCACGAGCTGTCGGGCGGCGAGGCGCAGCGCGTGTCCATCGCACGCGCCCTCGCCAACTCGCCCCAGGTGCTGCTTCTGCTGGATTCTTACCCACGAGCTCGCTGGACCCTCTGTTGTTGCAAGCAGCACGTTTTGTTGTGAGAATTCTTAAAAATCACCTCCATCGTGCACCCCCGCCGTCTCGCCAACTGCCACCCAGGTGTTACTGCTGGACGAGCCCACGAGCTCACTGGACCCCACGGCCACGCGCAAGGTGGAGGAGACGATAGAGCGGCTGCGGCGAGAGGAGGGGCTGACAGTGGTGTTGGTGTCGCACAGCATGCCGCAGATCGAACGCGTGGCTGATGTCACCGCGCTGCTCAGTCAGGGCCGCGTGGTGGAGGTGGGGCCGCCGGGGGAGCTCAGGGAGAGTGATAATCCGGACGTTGCTAGCTTTTTCACTGGGGAGCTCAGCTGACCTGCCCGTGTGTGTGGTGACGTGGATGCTGAGTGTACAAGGGAAGGGTTGTCGCCGTAGTCTATGTTCAGTTTGTATGCAACGCAAAGTTGCAAATCAGTTATGCATGCAATGCGAGATCAGGGTTGGTAGTGGAGCGCACAGCCTGAAAGCAGCCATGCCTACAGCACAGGAATGGGGATGGCGACTTCGACGGTGCAGATGCTCAGGCATGCAATGATTGTATTCGAACTGAGTGTGCTTGTTTCTCCCAACTCTAGGTTTGCGGAGAATTGAGCAAAAGAAAGTCGTCTCAAAGAATGGGATAATATTCAAAACATTACTTCAAGAATAATGAAAATCGATATACAGGCCACAGCCAATCTCAGCGTTCTCAACATCGATGCTAGAAAAAATGCCTGTCAAAAAACGCCTAGCGCGGCGGACGGAGCGAGTTATGTACAGCTGCACGCACTGGCGCGTCGCGAGGGGAGACAGGATCGGAAAGCGCAGCGCAGGCGGCTTCACCACTGGTCGTCGCCGCCGTTCCAGCGCTGCTCGCACGACGCCCACCGCGTCAGGCGGTTAGCGGCCAGTACTTGTCTCCTGGCGCTGCGACCGTTATTGCTGCTGCTGCGGCGGTGGCTGCGCGGCACTCTCTGGTCGCCCGTTTCCAGCGGCGCTGAATGCGCGCGAGGGATGATGTCGCCCCGCGCCGCTGCCGCTGCTTGGATGTGACTGTAGCGAGTCCCCATTCTCCTTCCCCTGCCCGACTCCCAGTCATCTCTCAACTCGTCGCCGCAGCTCTCTCCCTCGCTCAGAAACGACTGTAACATGGTAACAAACTGTTCGCAGCGGATCGCGTTGAGTTCGCGCTGCGCGTCGAGCAGCGAGAGCCGGCCTTCCAGCGCGAGCAGATCGAGATCCGCGTGACTATCGCGCTCGCGTCGCGAGAAAGGAACCTGGTCCGCGTGACACGTGGCGAGCACAGCCGGCGATTGCCGGGAGGAGACATCAAGGGTCGGTCGGATGAGCTTGGTGGTCGCCATTGAGAATTGATACGCGACCTCAAAAGCGAATTCAATATGCGTGTTTCAACCAGCTGCAAGCACCGAGCGCGTTGGTGCCTGTAGTAGGCGTCGGAAGAAACTTGAGTGGCGCTCAAGCAGTTGGAGGGTAGAACGGAGAAGCTGAACATTGCGTTGAAGCTGGCAGCTTTATCCCCATCGGCACCGCCGTGGGATTCGGCGTCTCAGACTCACTCGCTTGGGATGGGAGGGATACAGTAGAGCGGAAGTCAAGCATCGAAGGTACAGTGGTACCCTGACATTGCACAGCCTGGTGCACTGTTGCGCCTCAATTCACCTCGGTATTCGCCCGCTGTGAGAATCTTAGATTCTTAGATCGCACATCGAGCCTGTCGGTTCGACTGGCCTTCCTAGCCAAGCCCAAGGGAGCAGCCACCAATGCGGTGCGACGATGGGCCAATGAGAAATTTCGCAGGCCTTGGATCCTCCGCGTGAACGTCATCCTTGACGTCATCTGTCTGTGTGCACCATTACGCTCTTAAATGCCGGTGAGCGAATTGAAATGAACACAAGGGCGAAGTACCGGCCTCGGTCGGGTAAGGCGTCTCCATACACTGCTCGCACTTGCTCTGTAATCCGCGTAGGGTCATGCTGTACTGTGACATTACTACAGCGCATTCTGCGCTCCCCGGCCGTTACTGAGCACATTCGCCCCCTCGCCTAGCACTGGTGAACGCGGTAGGCGCGGTATGGGCTTGGATGAGGCTGAAGAGGGGCGGAGGGAGTTGTGTGGCTCGGAGCGAATTCACGCCGTGGGGTGTGGAGTGGACGCCTTGTGGTCGATGGTGCGAATGAGCATATCACATCCGATCTCGCTCGATACGTCGACTAGAGTTACATAATGGGGTGAAAGGAGTCGGCCTTGCCTTTCTGAAAGGGTACTGAGCGTGAAAGGAGACGGTCGTTGAGGTTCCGTGAAGAAATGTCCTCCTAGACTATCGTCAGACCTGAGCGTCGCTGGGCAAGTCAGTAACCACACGTTTATCTTCCCTTGTTCAAAGTGAAGCACACACAAAAAATAACTGGAGCCTCGTGCAATAGTTCACCTGCTAAAGATTTCGGACAAAATGCATCTGCACAGCGAGGAAACAAGTTCACCGCAAAGATTCCGCACCCCATTGCATCGGCTATTCCTCCTTCCATCCACGGATCGACCCATGCATTTCCCTTTCGGGGACATGAAGCTCCAGTTACGAGAGCAAGCTGGAGCCTCAAGCCAATTCAGACGAAACAGTTTCCGCTCAGGCGGGCAGCATTTCCTTCCAACAGTTTATCCAAGCCCAAGTGATTTCCATGGCTGCAATTCGTCGATCTGGTCAAACCAAATCTAATCGCTTTGCACCCGTCAAAGCCTCAAGTGACCTCGTGCCAGTCTGCCGTAGGGAAGAGCAGGAAGAAGGCAATCGAGCATTGGGTTGGGGGGGAGGGGAATGAGTTTACCCTTATAAGCTGCCTCCTTAACACGGGCAGTCCCTACAAACCAAAACACATAGAAATCGAATGATAGTATCTCTTTCTATCACTGATAACCAGGAAAGGTTAAAGCTCTTGGAAGCAAGTAACTTAACGCTTCTGATGTGTCGGAACATCGAACTGTAAACGAAGCAAATAGCAACGAAGCAACGACGAGTCAACCATCGGAGGTTGACAAACTGTTGGAGGTTACGCGAAGGTCAAAGGTCAGCAACAGTTGACTCGACAAATACAGCGCGACTGCAAGGACAAACAAATGACTCGATACTGAGCAACAGCAACAGCAAAACAGTTATTAGTTGCACCCTTTCATATTCCTTGTAATCTTATAAAAGGCTTGTATTACCTTTCTACAATCAATCTATCTTGCCCTCACACACTAGCGCAAGGTGGTTCAACACTTGTCATTAAACGCTTCCGCAACTACAACACTTCTACTCAGAGTTAAGCCTTGAGAAGATCCTAAGGGCTTTTTCTCAGGCCAACAAAAGCTAAGGGCCTCATTTGGAAAACAAATTGAAGGCCTTTGCAATCTTGCGCCTGAACCTTAGCGTTTTTTTTTTTTTTTTTTTTTGTTAAGCATCATCAGTGTCGCCATCACAGTTCGTCAGTTTTTCCATTCCAAGTGAGCCCACAACCATGTACTAAGTGTCAGAAGTAGGATGGGCAAGACAGAATTGTATAGCCTAATCTTAACCTTAAAATGTTGTACCCTTTAGTGTATGCCCCACGACGGGTATGCCCCACTACGGCCTACAGAACAAATACAATTTGACACACCTCTATATGCAAAGTGGGGGATAGCAAACACAGCGGATGATCACAAGACCAGTCAAGCAAGAGAACAAGCAAAACAAAGCTCAGGGTGGATCTTAAAATCACCACACATTCTGAGCATAAGCAAGCGGCCACAAGGCCAGTTCATATGCAGAGTTGTAAAGCACAAGCAGTACAGTGATCACAACCTAGCAAGAACAAGCATGCAGGTATATATGTATAGATCACAGTACAAGACAAGTCAAGCAACCAGCAGGTGAGGCAGAGTAGGTACAAGGCCTAGAGCAGTGCAGAAACGCTGATGATCACCAGACCCAAGGGCCTTGGTGAAGACATCAGCACTGTTGGCCCGAGAGGCCACGTAAGCAAGGCGCAGCTGACCATGCTGCTGCAGCTCCCGAGAAACGAAGTAACGAAGAGCAATGTGCTTCGTTCTATGCTCCAGTCTCTGCTCTTGACACAAGGCAATCATGGCCTTGTTGTCAAAGTACATGACTGGAGGAGAACGAGGCCGCTCACCCAAGTCGGTCAGCAGGTAGGTGAGTCAGCGTAACTTCTGTGCAGCCAAGGCCCCAGTGTAGATCTCGGCCTCACAGCTGGAACCAAGCACAGAAGACGAACGAGTGGACCTCCACGAGACAGAACCAGAGCTTAGTCTGAAAAAGTAACCCTGGAACAACCGCTGAGTCGCCTGGTCGTCAGCCCAAGAAGCGTCGGAGTGTCCTGTGAGTACCACTTGACCCCTTCCTCCAAGCACAAGCCCCATGCCCGATGTACTGCACAAGTAATGCAGTACCCTCTGCGCAGCTGTCCAGTGCTCCTTCATGTGTCGCCCGGGGGCGATGAAGCGAGCAAGGATGCTGAGAGGGTACGCGAGGTCAGGTCTGTCAGGATAGCGAGCAAAAGTTAGAACAGAAAAGAGAGTTTTGCACTAGTAGGCAGTTGAGTACATATAGGGAAACCTAATTTGGGTGAAACTCGCTATAGAGTACCCCACTGCAGGCTAGACAAATATCGCATTCTGACACACCCCCATAGTCAAAGTAGAGTATAATCACCAGAGAAAGCAGTCATAGAGCAGGTTCACAAGTACAAGCAAGTTAGAGACATTCACAAAAGGCAAGTGAGGAGGAGGAGGGTCTGTGAAAGGAGTGGAGATAGGAAGCGAGGGTGAAGCCGCAGAGACACGGACAACATGAGCCGCGCGCACAAAGTGGCTACCGGAGCAGCGCCCCGGACTACTGGAGTAACTGGCTCCGCGGCTAAGACGAGCGGTAGGAGCAACGGACCCACGTGCAACTGGCGCAGCAGGCTCGCTGGGCTACCGGAGCAGAGCCCCGGACTACTGGCGCTGCTGACGACACGACGGCTGCCTCCGCTCAACCTCTCCCACTGTCGCAAACCCCTTTCACACACCCCCTGCTGCACCTCTAGCTCCACTCTCACGACACCCCCCTAGCGCCACTCCCTCGGCTCCCACACACCCACCCCCCTCAGCGGCAGCTGCAACAGTGGGAGACGAAGGAGGAGGAGGAGCCGGGGACGGCTCACACACCCGCCACCCCCATACCAGCCACACCCATACCCCCAACGCAGGCGGCACGGAGCAGAAACGCGGGCAGCAGCTAGGGCGCTGCGAGGGGCGATGGGCAGGGCGGCGCGAGGGCCCCCAAAGCGCCGCAA